GATTTGTTAGGGCTTGGTTTAGTAAGTTTTTTAGTTTTTTAATATTTTAAAAATATATAAAATATATTTAATATAGGATATCAATATGTATTAGTCCTAACTCTGTAAAAAAAAAATTAGATTCTCAATCTATATAAAGAAACTGAAATTTTAATTTAAAATTTAAAAATTTAATTAATTTTTAAATCTAAATATCAATATGTAATAAGATAAATTTTTAAATTTTAAATTAAGTTTTAATTAAATAAAACGAAGTCATTTTAATTTACAATTCCAATTTTTTTAAGAGTTAGAATTTATATACATTTTTTAAATATATTTAATATTTATTTTTAATTAATATTTTATATATTTTTATAATAATATAAAAATATAAAAATTAAAAACTAAAACATCGACGAACATTCAAGCGAAATTGTCAAGCCGAAGTCTTAGGCCCGCCCTTTCGCAGAAGCAATGCTTTTCCACGAAATGACGAAGAAATCACAAGTAACGGTCTTTGCTACTTTGATTGGGATTTGTAGGAGTTTCAACATATGTCCGCCTTCGCTACATTATTTGTACAAAAAAAATTAATATATTTTCTAATTTAATTCACATATTAAAATTTATAGTTAAAATTTTTTTAATTTAAATTTAAAAATAATAATTTTTTAATAAATACATTAAAAAATATATTAAATAAAAATATGAACTAATCATCATCCTACTTATACATAGAGAATGCTGTTTTGTGAATTGTGACGTTGATTTTGAGAGAAAGTCCCCACATTCAGGTCCTTTCACTTCAATTACGTACCCAATTTACATGAATTAAACTGCATAATTTTTTTTTTTGGTTGTATATATATATTAGAAGAATTGTATCTTCGAAAGAATTGATGAGTCAATCAATTGTGTTCATTGATCTAATTAAATAACTTAGAATTATCATCATAGTGGATCCATACAGAAAATTACAGAAGTCATCGCGTTTCATCCCTGGCAAAATGAGAATTTTCAAAGTCTTTGCTCCAATTGGAATTTCATTCGGTTTTGTCTTTGCTCCTTTAATGTGGAAAATCCAACGCTAAAAAATAAAAGAGACTTGTATCTTTTGGGTTAAGTAATCGGGTGGACAATAACCCTTAAATAAGAGTTTAACATATAAAAACATCGTCTTTATTTCAAAAAATTAACTTATTAAATTTATTAATCTTTATATATATAAACTACTTATTTATCACTCTTTTACTTTTGATATGAAATTCTGTCTACTTATTTGTTATTCACCACTCTTAATATGAAATTCTTGCTACTCATGTGTGAACATCCACTACTTGAGCCCCACATCTTTAATTTCTAACTGCTCCCTAAGTGCGAAAGGATTGACAAATCAAAGTCTTTTTTTGGCCGCGTATTCTGAGCGCGGGGTACACGCTTGCAAGCCTTATTCTGCAGAGACAGGGACATCAGCCAAAGAAGCTCCTGTTGGAAATAAAAATGCACAGGATAATATTTTCTTAGAGATGTAAACTCAGAAATTCGTGGAAATTTTTGTTCCCAAGCCATTCTGCTATTGCTTCTCTACATTCCAAATTCTGAAATTGCACTACTCCTACTTCTGCTGGAAATGTCACTGATCATCTGGCCTTGATAGCCTTCAACTCTAAGATTTCAAATGATCCTCAGGGGATTTTGAAATCCTGGAATGATTCTATCCACTTTTGCTGTTGGACGGGCATCCCTTGCGGTCATAGAAGAGCCAGAGTAACCATCTTGAATCTATCATCCAGGGGCTCGGTGGGTCCTTTGTCTCCTTCCATAGGGCACTTGAGCTTCCTTCGCAAGATTAGACTTTCAAACAACACCTTTCTGGGGGAATATCCCACCTGAAATTGGTCATTTATTCAGATTTTTTCTTGGAGGAAATAACCTCTCCGGTAAGATCCTCTCATCAATCTATAATCTTTCTATGCTTTCCATTTTCTCCTTGGCAGATAATAAACTCGAAGGAGATCTTCGACGGGACATTGGGCTTACCACTCTTTCTCATCTAGCAACCTTAAAATAGGGGGCTGATTCCAATAACACTACCTAATGCTTCAGAACTTTCTCTTCTTTTTTTTTTTTTTCATAAATAACCATAAATTAATTGATAACCAAATAAGTACATCAAACAATCTATGATCAATGCCATTTAGGCTAGTACATACTACATAGTAAACCTAAGATACTAAATAATTTAATAACAACATGAACATAGTAATCAGACCAAAGTCACCAAACCATATTCCAGCACTAGCGGGCCCCTAGGTACCCCCTAAACTTTCGACAAAAAGTTGATTTAGTCCCTTAAGTTATATTTTTATCATTACATCGATAATTTTTTCTTTATTTTATACCATTTTAGTCCTTTTCTCTAGATTTTTATTATTGAAAATTATTTTCACTGATAATGAAAAAGACAAGGAAAATAAAATTAATTTGAAATAAGAGGATAAATCCAGATTAATCAAATGAAAAATTATACATTATCACCTTTTACTTTTCTTATTTTGTTCATTAGTATTCTTCTACATTTATTTATTTTTGTCCTTAAATTAATGATATCTATTATACATCATCTACTTTTAACTTATCAGTAAAACTAACATATATTATTTAAATTAATTTTTTTTGTTTTCTTACCATATCGACTTTTTTATAGTTGCATACAAATACCCAATTTCTTAATGAAAGTTTCAATTTCCTATCAAAAAATATTTTTTGGTTCCACATGACTACGTTTCAACATAGTTCATCTAGATGGAAGATGATCTTGGGAGCAACGAACCTAAGAGAAGCACCCTACTGTGCATCTGAAACCTATAAGAGAGCTCTTATCTGATACTTTATCAACCTCTGGAGGCAAAAACTCTCAAAAGAGAGACAAACCCTTAATTGGAGAGAAACCTTCTCTTGTGAGGGAGAAAACCCCACCCTAGCCTAAGGGAGAGAGGCTGCAGCTAGGGTGGAGGATGAAGCAAGAAAGAGGGGAGTTTAGGGGTGGGAGAAAGAGAGGAGAAGAGCAATTGCAATTCCTAATGTTTCAAAACTTGAACATATTGAAATGCACGCAGCGATCACAATTTCTCTGGTAAAGTAATTAATTAACAAATCCTTTCGAGTATCTCCCACGCGATTTGTACGCTTGAATTTGGCTCAAAATCATCTAGGAAGTGGAGAATCTTATGAAATGAATTTCCTCAATTTTTTGGTCACCTACAGCAACCCAAAAGCATTAGCTCTTGCAGGAAATCAAAATCATGGGAAAATTGCCTAATTCTATAGCCAATCTTTATCTTTACCTTGGAGACAACAAACTATTAGGAGACCTCCCTTCTAGGTTAGGAAATTTTATTAGCTTAAATATGTTATGAGTTTATTTGGTTAGAATACTACTTTATTAGAAAAGTTTTTACTGAAAAAGTGATTTAAAAAGTACAATATAAAAAGTTAAAAAGTATTATACAAAAAATTACTAAATTTTGTTAGAATTTTATTGAATTATTAATTTTATTCTGTTTTATAAGAAATTAATATACGGAAAGTTAGTAAAAAAAGTTATTAAGTGAGTCTAATATAAAAATAACTATAAGAAAGCTTTTTTTTTCAAAATAGATAAAAAGAAAATTTTATGGGTCAGGAACTATGTAAGAAAAAATAAAAATTTAAATGACACTTTTACTCTCCTTTTGTTATAATATTAATATAAGAAAATACATAAAATATTTTTATATTTTTCTAAGGGAAAAAGTTTAAAAAACTTTGGGGGGGGGGGGGGGGGGGGGAATTTTGCCCCAACCAAACAAGCCCTATATGTTTATTTAGGCCAGGTTCCATAAGAAATAAGTTAGCTTCAGAATTTGCAAGTTCTAGATCTTGGCTAGAATAAACTTTCCGAAGAAATTTCATTTTCTTTTGGAAACTTAATGCTATTGAATTTTTTTTACTTAGACAACTACTAGTTAAATGAAAGTACGTATACCCTCAAGCCTTAGGAACTTCTAGAATTTTATGTATTTGACTCTCAAAAAAATTCCCTTAGTGGCTCTATTTCCTAAAAACTTTTCAATTCTAATTCGAGTATTAGCCTGAATCTTTCTCATAATCATTTGGCAGGATCTCTATCTTCAAAAGTTAGTCAACTGAGAAACTTACGCACAGTACTGGATGTATCTATGAACAAGCTGTCTGGAGAAATCCCAAATAACCTAAGTGAAAGCCTTGAGATTTTAACCTAAGTGCAAATCTCTTACAGGGAAGCATTCCTCCATCTTTAAGCTCTATCAACAACTTAACTGGTAAGATACCTCAATACATGGAAAAGTTAGTATTGGAGTCTCTGATTTATCTTTCAATAATTTGGAAGGAGAGGTTTCAACAAAAGGTATTTTTGCAAATGCAAGTGTAGTGTTTGTTGAAGGAGACAAGAAGTTTTGTGGGGGAATTGCAGAACTTAGGTTGCCCAACTGCAGCATCAAATATGAAGAGGTGGGAAAGCTTTCACCAGGATAGATAATAATGATAATAATAACAGTTGCCTTTCTGATGAGTACAGGAACAATCATTAAGTCTTTCTTCCTGTTTGGCTGGTCTAAAAAGAAAAGCAAAGACCAGTCTTCTGTATCCCACTTGAGGAAGCCATTTAGGCAACTTTCTTATGAAGCTTTGCTCAAAGCAACCGATAGGTTTTCTTCGTCAAATGTAATTGGAAAAGGGCGCTTTGGTTTTGTCTATAAAGGAGTTCTTCAAGAAGATGGAACTAATGTTGCAATCAAAGTACTTGATCTCAAGCATCGACGAGCTTCCAAGAGTTTCAAAGCAGAGTGTAAAGCCTTGAGGAACATTCGTCATCGGAATATTGTAAAGATTATAACTTGTTGCTCCAGTATCGATTTCAAAGGTAATGATTTCAAGGCTTTGATTTATGAGTTGATGGCCAATGGAAGCCTGGAAATTTGGCTCCATTCATCTGGTCAGGAAGCAAATAACAGGCAAGGCATAGCCCAAAGTCTTACTCTTTTACAAAGGATAAGCATTGCTATTGACGTTGCTTCTGCTCTTGACTACCTTCATCACAATTGTCGGAAGCCAATCGTTCATTGTGATTTGAAGCCGAGCAACATTCTTCTTAACAATGATATGACTGCTCATGTCGGAGACTTTGGGCTTGCAAGAATTATTTCAGGGCCAAGAAAGCCAAAAGTGAGGAGGTCGATTGGAGTAAGGGGAACAATTGGGTACACCGCTCCAGGTGATCAAAATATTCTAATCCTTTATGATTTTAGTCTTTTAATTTCTATATACCTTCAATATTCTTTTGCTCAACCTAACCTTTTGATTTTCTTAAATGGCAGAGTATGGCATGGGAAGGGAGGTTACAGTACAGGGAGATGTATACAGTTATGGAATTCTAGTGTTGGAGATGATGACAGGAAAGAGACCAACAGACAGTCTCTTTGAAGGTGGCCTCAATCTTCATAACTATGCCAAAACGGTATTACCTGATCAAGTTATGGAGATTGCAGACCCAAAGCTCGTACACGAAGCTCAAGCAGCTACCATTAACAATCAGATTCGTGTTCGGGCCCGATCTCACAGCCCAAGGGATTGTCTGATCTCTATGATTAGAATTGGCGTGGCATGTTCTGTGGAGTCACCTCAAGACCGGATGACCATAAGTGCTGTTCTCACTGAGCTGCATCTGATAAGGAACAATCTTCTACGAAACCAAGCACACTACTAGCACATCTCTAGCCTCTGGATCTGAATGTTATTC